CAGGTGTGTTCACTCTCATTACTCTTGAATTGACCATTTGTCTTACTCATGGGCTAATTAAGACATCTAGATGATATTGAGCACAGTGAAAGCATAAAAGATCCATAAGATGACCTACTTATTAACTCAATGATTTAGCAAAGTCTAAGGAAATTGAAACAGCCCGGGGGGATCTAAGGTTGTTCCGGGTTACCCCTGAAAACCTTTGCGAAACCTTGGAAAATTTTATATGACACATGGGTTTGCTACAATTTGTTGAGGTAAATCATCCTGAACATATAACAATCATCAAAACCATAAAAAATGAAACCTTAGAGACCTGCCAAGATATGATTTTAGTCCCTTCTTGGACTTAATCTACATTAAAACCAAATGCTCTGAGATTTGAGCTTGAACATTACACTCAGATCCTTCTGACAATTGAGGACATTTAATCACACATATGAATCAAGTGGGGTCATAAGTTATATGGTTTAAGGTTTAATGGAAATGATGAGAAACTTTTTTGGTGCTAAAAGTGGGATTATAGAATGATATCTTCTACCTTGATGATCCTCGGAGAGGAGTAGGACCGATGATATTGTTCAGCAACTCTCTATGAGGAGTTGCTCCTTGCTTTCTTAGGTTGCGGGTAGTTCTAGTCCGATCAGGGTGATTAACTTGTGGACTATCTAATTTTGTCAAAATATTTACACATAAACAACATAACAAAAATATCCTTTCCTGTGACACCACTGCTTTTGACTATTAAGTTCAATTCTACATGCATGACAAATTAAGAATTTTAGGTATTAACCTATATAAGTCCAATTGTTGATAACTTTGACTGGGTCAGGAGTTGCCCTTCTTTGATCGCTTTACTGGAAACTTCTATCCAAGGTTGGACGGGAAAAAGCACACAGATTTCTTATGGTTGCCTAAGGATGTCTCTCGAGGGTAATGAGTCTGAGAATACCCCAAACCTGAATTCTTATGGCCTGGTTTGATCTTTCATATATGTGTCACCTGCACTTTTACTTTCTCTGCAACACTTGCTTGGTTTTACTTGTGATACTAACCTTTTTGCTGCACCAGCAGGATGTTCATTTTATTTTTATTGCATTTTACTGCATTCTTCTTTTATTGCTATTTACGCATGCATGATTTACTTTCTAGACCTGTAAAGTCTCTAGGGTAGAGAACAGTAGGACACCAATTTGAGAGGTATACTGTGGCAGACCACCGACTCAACAATAATGCATGTTTACACATAAAACCCTAAAACGGAAGCCGCTACATATGAAGCTTGGAGCAAAACTTTGTGGGCATCACGACAAGGAATCAAGCAGATAGAGGACAACATTAAGCAAAACAGTAAGACAAAACATGAAGTGAATCTATTCCAGCTAAATCATTCAATAATCTTAAGCAAACATGAACCATAGGACATTGAGATAGTTTGTATAGCATAGAATAAATCCTCGCACTATCTTTAGGCCCCTGCACAGTTATATTGTGCAACATAAGTTCTAACCCTTTAGGTTTTGAGGTAGTTGTTTGTTGCGACGTAAACACTCCTATCTTCATAAACCCTTTGCATATATGTGTATTATGCAAGTGTAAGCCTTAAATAATAAAATTAGCTGGAGGGAACACAAAAATAACATCATCACTAAAATGTACACCCAAACAAAAGGATATTTTGGGAAGTCACTGAGTTTCTCCTCAGGATTTGTGGCATCCCCTACTCTCTTCACTCCTTTAGACTCCTAAAATAATTTCTCCCATTTGTTCCTTTCCTGTTTGACTTTCAATGTCTAACTTTGGAGACCTAAACTTTGAAATATCGAAGACAAAACCACTGATCTCAGTCGAGAGCTTTTTTAAGTGACTTGGGTCATTTGAGATGTAATTAACTATAAGGGATTGCTCTTATAGGGAACTTGTAACCCAGGTAAAATAAACCCTACGTAATCTTTCTGTTAGGTAGAGAAACCTGTCAGTCACACATAAAAAAAAGGTTTCACGGACTAAAGGGATGTCATGGATTATTTAGTTTATATAATTGAGCTTGCTGTGAAGTAGTATGCACATCTCTTGATGTGGCATATTACTTGTAGTGTTGTACTCGATTGTTTAAACTATTAGATATATGGGATCTCTTTGGTTTCATATTTTTTAAAATTGAAATGCTATTTTTCAAAATCAAAATTATATACATATTAAATTAAATCATTCTCAAATGCAACAAAAAAAAGTCCTAATTTGGCAACTGACACCATCTAGCTTCATTCAAGTCAGTGGTTTGACTGTTTAGAATAAACAATGTTTTATGTGTCATTTGCTTTTCATGACGTTGAATGAATCAACTTTACACTATTCAATAACCTGCCAATAGGAGTCATTACTTCCTTTAGAGAGTTTAAGCACATGTTTGTGGCTCAATTCAACATTGTACAAAAGAACCCTTAAACCCTCTTTAAAAATTTTCTAAGATCCTATGGAGAGCCTAATAAGCTTCATCACTCAATTCTAATAGGAGATGCTAGATGTCCACGATCTAGACCTTATCTTTTCCCACATCACCTTGGCTCAAGGCCTCCATCAGAGGTCGTTCCAGTACATGCTTGTCTTGTAGAGGCAAAAAACTTTGACTAAGTTGTCTGCGAATAGCCATATATTTATGAAGGAGTATAACTTCCATTTTGGTTCCTTTTGATCGCAACATTTTAGTAAGGTTTTTTAGAGCAAGCCTCGTAACGATCAACAAAACTTGAAGAGCTGCTTTGAAAAGAACATGTTTTTGAATGCTGCCAAAAATTATTTCCAACAGGAGCAAGGTGATGCCAATGAGAGGTGGTTAGAAGAAGGCGTTAGAGGATTTAAGAGCGACCTCAGCCTCCTTCTACTGAACTCACGCCTTTATGAGTCTCGATGGTTGTGATCTTGGAGGCCAATCAAAATAAATACTTCTTCCAGAAGCTCTTTCCCATTAAGATGGGAACTCACGTCCGGGATCCCAACATAAATTGTGAATGTCATTAAGACCATGGTCACGAGGAGTGTCGACACGTTTGTAAATTGATTGAAGATTATTCAAGGAAGGAAGGCTGAAGGAGTTCATGACCCTTGAAGCCCGTACTCAAAGATGAGTTAAGGCACATGCTCGAAGGAATAGCGATGAACATGCTCTGGAGAGGTCGGTCTGCATCCTTTGCATCATATCGAAGCATCTTTGGAAGGAAAGAATCTGAAGCTTCACAATGGTCTAGCCTAAAGAGATTGAGGATATGAGAGTTTATTTAGCCACTCGATTCTAACGCGCTACCCCAATCCACCCTCTCATCACTTCTTAGGTGCTGATCTTACCACTAGTGAAAATCCTTTGAACGATGTCATCAAGATCATTGCCATCATAGAGGATTACCATATCGAAAGAATCATGATTAATATCAAAACCTTCATCAATGTTACAGCTAAAGTGGCCTTCAAGAAAATTGTGATAGTGGTTAATCGATCGCTGCTACCTCTAGACCGTTTTTCAGATTTTTTGATGACATGGGAGGAAAGACAACACTAGAACATGATGGAAATCATCTTCATCAACATAGATGCCCCCAGTGTACATAATGTCATTTTTAGCAGACCAATGTCAAACACCTTCAAGGCTGTTACATCCATCGACCATGTCGTCGTTAAGTTTCCAACCAGAGAATAAATCATCATCGTTAGAAGTCATTTTGAATGAGTTCAAAATCTCATTTTGAAAATTTTCATGACTTATTTTCACTAATAAATACAACGTAAATCAATTTGATGATCAATTACAAAAACTTTTACGTAAAATAGTTTGAGTCAAATTTTCATTCATGACGATTATCATTGAAAACCTTAAAAGTTATGATTTTCTTTCACAGGTTAATCCAGTGATTCAAATTACACTCTGTAAGTTGCATGATCTTTATATTCATATATGAAAATCATGCAAACCAGTTTGAAGGTAATTGGACACTATTTTACATAAATTGTGTACTTATGGTCACATTCATAAGAAATGCCCCCGAGTAAAAAAATTTCAACGAGTCATTATTATTGAAAACGAACTTCAACATTGTGTCTGTATTGTCAAAATCTTTCTAATTAGCCGTTTCATGCTCAATTCTGACCGCATTTGGGTTCCTTTTAACCAAATAATAATAAGAAGAGAGAAAATGATAATTTTAATAATAAAAATATAATTTGATCATAACTCATTCAAAATGTCTTCAAATCAACCCTAAACTTCAACAAAATTTGTTCTAAATTTAAAAATACACTATTTGGACTAATAAAATCTAAAAAAAATATTTAGTCAAAATTAGTGATTTTCTCTCTCGGGTGAGACCCACTTTGACCGGTCATAATTTGTTATTGATATTGATTAGTCAAACCCAATTTGACCATTAAATTTCTTGAATTTTCCTTACGGAGGAATCTTGTCGCCGCGATTCTTCTTGAGCCACTCATGCCGAATCTTTACGTCTATGCCTCTGGTCGTTGCCGATATGCTACCGGAGGTCCGAATCTATCAACAGCATGCTGCAAAAAACTCGGGCAACACACGTCGGACGTGTTGTCGTCCACACAGAACCACCCTCTAATCACAAATCTGAACCTCTGAAACAAATTTTTATGCGAAAATAATGGGGAAGTGCAAAAACTCAAAACAACAACAATCAAACACAAATGATTTATAAGATTCAGCGTTAAGTTAATTCGCCTATGTCTACGAGGAGAGAGATTTCACTAGCACCAAATGAGAGAAAAAAAATGATTTGAGTTTACAACTTAACCCATTTCACTATAACTCTCACCAAAGTCCTAAATCTGAGGACTCGGAAATTCAAGTAACCAATGTCAAAAGAAAAAAATTAACTGTAAATATAATTATTTTGCTTCTCAAATCTCAGCTGTAGCTTTCTTCTCTTCTATAT